TTTCATCAAGTAACTCCTGTCTTTTCCCAAGCACAGCAAATGAATGTCTGGAATTTAAGTCCGGAAACTCTCTCCCTACAACTTCTTAGGCTTTATCACCCAGAAATTCCTATGTACCAGCAGCAAAGCCAGCTGAGTGCAAAGACCTCATAAATGAAGTAGAACAATGTAAAGAGTTCCTTGAGGACGAGCGAAATCTAGGCGAAACACAGCTTCTCAGTTGATAAGAGGAGAGAGCCGAGGAAGGACGGTCAGTATAGTGATTACGCTGCCGGCTGGATTACCGGAATTCGATTCCTGACAGGATCTTTCTCTTCGTCACCTGGTCTATACCGGACATGGGACCATACCTAGCCTCATATCCAGATGCATGGTGTGTTTACCTCGATGTTAAGACGGCTGGGGCGTCAAGCTAATCATTCATCCCCATCTGTTGTCGAAGTTACGAATTTATCCGCCTTACGTGGTACTTAATTAAGCACCAGGAAAATTTTTATCTTAGCTTAAGGTATACTTTGAAATATGTATTAGATTTCCTATTGCTAGACGAGGTCTTAAAGTAATTTATGGTGTATTCACAGAATTCCCTGTGTAAAAAGAACTCGATAACTTTGTTGAAGAATTTTATCAATTAAATGAAAAGACGTATGGACATCTTTGAAGGACACTTTGAAAACATTGACCTTTCGTCGTTTCCGTATTAGGTCAGTATGACCACTGGAACAAGCCCCTCCCCCGTTTCTTCTATGACCCGACTTGTTGCTGGTCTCATCCATAATATAGAAAATTGCAGTAATTTAATATGTCTTTAAGCACTGCTTCGTAAAACAGTCATTGTTTGAAATTTGAGTTTTCACAAAGATGTCGATGTTAGTCATCTGGGTTGTAAAACCGCGCGGACTTCAGACAGATGCCAATATTTCTGCTTCTTTGGTGTTTGGCGTTTTGAATTTTCCTTGACATTACCTCAAAGTTAATTAATTTTGTCTCTTAAAAATGGTGAAATTAGGGATCGGATCGTAACCCCCCCCCCCTCCCAAAGCATGCCTACTCTTCGTTACAAAGATGTTTGTTTATTGTGTAAAGAAATTAATGATTAATTTATTTTGAGAAGAAAATGAAATGCGTGAAAGAATCTCTTCTCTGGGGCAAAATGAGTTTGCTGAAAGTGGTTGTGATGTGCAGTTGCTAATCACTGCTGTCCAACGAATTAATGTCATATTAGGTGCCTACCTGTAAAATATGAAAAAGTGCAACTCTTTGTAAATAGATTGAAAAGGCTTTGCGGATTAATGTCCTTGAATAACAGGAAGTGTATGCTTAGGCTTTTCTTGCACGGAAAGCAGCTATTTTCTTTCTGTAATACCAAGAGGTGTTATTTGTCAAGAGTTTTTATTTGTATTGTGAACATGACAAGAGTTGAAATGGCTACCTTATGAAGAGGGAAGAGAATGCGGGATGAGCGATCTCTGACGTCGTTGAACAGAGGGATAACGGAAACAGTTGACCGTCGTGGCAGCCTCGCCGGATGTGTGTCGAATGCTCCATGCAACAGCATACGTCCTTGTCCGAACACATTCGCCGTTCTTTGCCGGAACATGTTTACACCAGAAATATAAATCTGAAAAACTGAACGTCATTTTTAAGTGAACCCTTGAAAGGATTTTGTTAGCAGTGTTGTTCAATAGAACCAAAAGCTGACATTAATAAAAATCTTCTCGGGCAGTCAGCCAGTGTGGCATCCGGTCACATCAGGACCCTGATGATGGGAACAAAGATGGATATTTTCGTGTAACCATTTGTCTCGGCTGTTTGCCCTAGAAGATTTTAACGAATTTAGTCGCCGCGAAAGTTTCAAATCAAAAGCGGACGTTTCTCATTTTTTCTAAAATGTATTTCTTATTCTATATACCATGAATTTCAAAACACTGAAATTCCATTACGGATGAAATTGTTTTTAAAGTCATCACAACCAGTTGATATTTGTAGACCGTTTGCTTACTCCCAGCTATTCATTAATTTTATACTCTTGTAGAGAATTTACAAAAAATGGAGCTGCAGATACTCGTATCTTCGGATCGGCAGCTAAAATGGATCCGCGCACAGTAGTAAAATTTTTACGTGATATGTAACCACTGTGAACACACGCATGAGACGGTAACATGCGTATACAAGTAGAATTGTGTTTTGTGATGTGGATATGTAAAAATGATGGAAGAGAGTTAATCCTTAAGTGAAGTTTAAACTACTGGCCACAAGGTAATGGAGTGTGGAAAGAGGAAGGATACGGGTTGTAACTGAGCCTAGAATTGAATTACGAAAAGCAAATTTAAATAGGGAATGTGTCATTGAGGGGTATTCTTACAATCATTCCCCTCATGAAGATTTTACAGTTATTATTTATTGTGTTGCTAAATTAAATTACAGATTGCACTCCGATACAGATCGAACTATGTGTTATAAAATGTGCGCTGAACTGGAGAGAGACACTCGTATATAACTTGGCAAGCTGTAGGCCATCTTGCGAGGTTAAATAACTGTCTCTTTCAAAGGTCGGGTGTCATGCAGACTACGTCAAGATAGAGCGCGAGTGGAGTTATGTTTTCGTATTGACTCACATGTTTTGAAAGAAAACTAATTACTCTATTTTAAAAGCATCTGCTTCGCTTTGAAGAACGTTACGGTCTGAAGTATAACATACAGCTCTTATCTAGACACGTCACATATATTGCACATTTATTCTTTTTCCTTATTTTATTTGTTTTTATTTCCGTCTCTCTACATTTTATCCTTCCGTTATGTGCAGTAACTTTGCTGTTAGATAGTGGAAGTTACTTTATCCTGATATGTATAAATCTCAACAAATTTTTCTGTGAAAAGTTTTGGTAGAACTAACTCCGACAAGACTGAAATGAATTCTAATGTCTTAAAATAGCAACGTGTTGAAAAATGTTTCCAGTTACGAGTAATGTAACAATAAAATATATAGCACATATACATCTACTATAGAAAATGTCATATATATTTTCGAAAAATTGCGAATTTCCTTGTAAAAGGCTTAGTGGTGAGTATAATGATCATAAATCTATGCAATGATCTTCATGGGCATGCACTCCAATAGAGCAGGTTTTTCATGACTTTGCATACGTAATAGGTTGCCTGTGATTTTATTGCTGAAAGAAATTTAGCCTGCAGAGTAACGGTAAAAACACTGCACTATATAGTCAGAATTAATATTTTAATATTTTCCGTCAAATCAGAATTGTTAATAAGATAATAAAATATAAAATATTTAAAATATCATTTCACGTTCCGCATCGAATGATCGATTTACAAATTGGAACGTTCCAAATATTTTATATTTTATTATCTTATTAAAAATTGTGATTTGACGGAAAATATTAAAATATTAACCTAATTCACAATATGACGCAAATATACTACCTTATAAGTCAGAATTTTTTTTTTTTGCAAATATTAGCCATATCGAAAAGAAAATAATCCTCGTAACAGTTCCAGATATTAATAAGTCAAGCATTTTATGTCATGAAAAAATATTTTGTTTAATGATCCGTTCTTGAGTAAAGTATTAAAATTAGGCCAGGACGTCTTGTGAAATGTGAGCTACTGGTGCCGTGAAAACCTGGAGTCTAACGATATGAGTTATGTTAGATTCATGTGAACTGATACCACATTCGGGCTACAAATTCCTCCAGAAGAACTCCAGTATAAAAATATTAGATATGCTCGAAATTTCGCAAATGAAACATGGGAATAGGCAAATAAGTATGGATCAGACACTACAAATACGTGATTTGTTAATTTTTTGTAGGCATGCAGTGATATTTATTGACGTTATTCGAATTATATCTTCACTCAAGGAATATCACACTGGATATTACTAGGTTTACCTGTTACGTTTTGTCCAATCCCAGCTCTATCACAATAACTTTCGACACCAACATACACTAGGATGAGCTCACAAAACAAGTGAAGTTGTAGCAAGAAGTGGAATTGTGAGCACAGAGTTTGAACTTTAGCCTAAACTTTGATATATGACGCCCGATCAACATGGTGACCAACGAATAAATAAACGATAGTTTGTTCCTATGAAATACTGAACTGATGTGTCCGATAAGGCATTTTCCTTTGTTCACTTGCTTACGTATTCAAAAACGCGCCAACTGAGTAACTCAGTGGACCAGGGTTGCACGATTTATATTTTATTTATGCCTAGTATTTATTTATTTGTTTATTTATTTATTAACGTCCTATGGCCCTTCGAAGTTGGTGAGAATGACAATTTTGTTTGAACGGGAATGCAAATTGTCGCAACATTATGTTTGCAAATCGCGTTGAAAGTATTAAAAATTTATATAAAATGTTAATTCTCCCACAGTTGCTACTTGCATTTTACAGACCGGAATTTTCATGTAGGCATCATCAAAATCCCTAAGCCGCCATCTCTGATCGTAATCATTATACTCGCAGCAAAACTTACCGTCCATACCACACAGGAACACCAATTCCCACTGTGCGGTGGTCTTTAATTAATTAAATATCTGAAGTTAATTGGGGACCCGTAACAAGTGGTTGAGTTCTTGTCAACATTGTTGTTGTGCATAGTGGACTGCTTACACAGTTGCCAGGCAACACAAGCACTGACTGAATTCACAAACCGCCTCCGGTCGTGTACAGAGACGACATTGTCAGTCCGTCCGTTCAAGGAAAGCCTAACGTTGTCACTGTGACTATAAAGCCAGGTCAACTATTTTTCATGAGGTGTTTTTCCGAAATGACAAAGCTGTTTTTCTATTAGGTTTTGGCGCCGTGTTCACTCGTAGGTAAATATAAATGTTTCGGAGAAATGTAATGTCTTCATCCTCCGCCCTGCAGATGGAGACAGAATGCTTGTTCAAAATGCTGGCATCTGCCAAAGCCCAGTACATGATCATCCCCACCGCCTTGAAAATCACAAATCTCACAAGAAGAACACATTCGACATCTTCACGGTCACGAGAACTTAAAATCTCACATTCTTTCCCGTGTTTCGTTAACTACTTGCTTAAAAAAAATGTAAATGTTAATGAAGTCTGTACTTTCTACCGTGTGGGCCTGTCTATTTTTATGAGTATTTTTTTAAACAAAGATCGGTACATTTCTAGTCGGAAGCCATACATAGTAGCTGGCCTACGGACCAAGTTGAATTATCTTAATTTTTGAGTAGATTTACAATGCCAAATTTAGTCGAAATTCGGCCATTAGTTTTGCGGATTGAACATGCGAACGGACAGGCGGATAAGTGCGCACGCATCTCCTTATTGGTATTGCAATTTACGTTTTTTTTCGCAAAGAAATATTAAATATATGTAGGGCTATATTATCCCCATATTTTATCTAAGAAGCGAAATTTGTTATTAAATAATGTTTTTACATTGTAGAGATAACCGCAATATGTCACATTTTTCCCTGTAGTGGTCGTGGATGATTTATAGTTGGTGTTGCGGTTTTCTTGGAGTAAAAATATATGACAATGTTAGTCTGATATTAGATATTAGTAACATGGAAGGAAATATTACGTTATTTGAAAGTCTTAATATCAGATGTCGTTGAAATTCTGTCTGCGATAAATTTATGCTATTTTTGTGCAATATTTTCTTCTATACAACGCATAAAATAATAACTTTCTGTTTTAATCAAGTCGCAAGAAAATTTTCCATATTTTATCAATAACTGTTTTGAAGTTCTCATATTTTCTTTACTGGGATTGTAGGTTCAACTTTCTATTGTGAAATGTTACAATATATGTTACGTGCGGATAATCATTCATTATATTCATACTATATGTCCAGCATTACACAGAGATTTAAATTAATACTTTATTAAAACTGTTATTTAAAGCGGTTACGAATTACATGCTGGCAACTGCGTGGGATACACTGAGATTCGATACCATGTGAAACTGTACAGAGGAACTTTATGGAACATTGAATGATCACAGAATTATGTTACTAATTTTTAAAAACAATGATTCGCGTGTTTGCTGTAAAGCAGTATCATTTGTGGAATCACATGAACAAGGATTTCAAACCATTTGGACTATAGGCAATAACGACCTATACTCCTCAGTGACACTCTTGGTCTGTAACAGAGTTATGTAACATTGCACGGAAACCATGACCAAAAAAGTTTGGAAAGGTGTACTGTTTGGGGTAAATTACAGGGGTGTTGATTTGAGGTTTTCACAGCGGTGAGTCTGAAGATTTCTGTCTTCTGGGTTGTTGCGCCGTGTAGTATGGTAGATGTTAACCAACGTTTCAGAGGTCATACTGCCTCCGTCATCAGGGCGATGAGTCTGAAGATTTCTGTCTTCTGGGTTGTTGCGCTGTGCAGTCTGGTAGATGTTTACCAACGTTTCGGAGGTCATACTGCCTCCGTCATCAGGGCGATAAATGAATTTTTTGGTGGGATTGGACATATTCAAGAAACGTTTCGATCAGCGATTGTACAAGGTTATCGAAAAGTCGAACAACCCATATTAAAACATTGATTGATGGTTGTTATTCAATACAATTTGATTGTATTGAGAAACACATAATGTCGCTGTGACTATACGAAGCCCACACAGGCCAATTAATGTTTTGACTTGCTCTCGTCAGTCCTTCGGCTGTATTTCAACAGTCAAAGTACAAGGATGTCTTTTTCACAAGTGCTACGTCTGTGCATTGTCGAACGCCACCTGCCATCTCGTTCGTACTAAAGTTGTCAGAACGAGTTTAATGATCATTTCCCAATTCTCCTATGCTAAATAAACGGACATTTTCTTATCTGGTGAACCGTTTACGTGTAAGGAATTCGTGACGTCACTTTTCGATCATCCTGTGTTTTTCTGTTAGTTCAGTTTCTTCTTTTGTATCAAAAACAGGGCGATGAAAGGAGGAAGACGAGGAGAAAGGCGGAGAGAAAAAAGAACAGAGAAATAGCGAAAAAGGAAGAATATATGAAAGAAAAATGGAAGGGTTTGGTATTCATTACACTGGGACATTCAGCATGAACCGTTCAATTGAAAACGACCATTTGAAGTGCGCCGTCACTGGATCCCAAACATTTACATTCATCAACCGTTTATGCTCGACGCTCTGCGGATTTTATTACCGTACTAAACGAAGTCATATAAACTCACAGAAGTGGCAAACGACTGTTCAATTGATACGGTCTCATGTTTATATCCATCACCAATAAAATCTGCATCTGATATGGGTCAACAGAGTTGGCGATAATGCTCACTTGCAATGCCCATGTGTGTTCACTCACATGATCATTTGGGATATGAAAGCAATTTTTGTTACGAGATTCAATTGTTCATATGGGTTATGTTTGCACTTGTACTATAAAATTCCATTGTTTCCGTGCATATCACATTTGTGCACACGACTGGTCTGTGCTTGGATCCTTACACATCCAACCAACTAACTAACTAACTAACTAACTAACTAACTAAATATGTAAGTATAAAGATAGCTGTCTTTTGGAATGTTGCTGGAAGTTTTCCGACGTTTCAGAGGTGCTTACTAACTTCAGGGAAATCGCCCTGATGATGGTGGCAGCAAAGAATATGAAATGTCGGTAAACTTCTACCAGATTGCACGATGCAACGTTCCAGGAAACGCCATCATCTAAACCAGTCGTATTCGCCTTTGAGAGTCATGTTTAAATGGGAGGATGTTATTAAAATTGAAAAGTAAATATACGGAGTGTCCCGGAAGAAAGGATCTCTATGCCTTAACTACATGCTCTTGGGATCATTTTGAGTCGAAAAGTTCAAATAAACATGGGCCCGATCTTCAACAGTTAGTCAAGAAAATCAGAATGGGCATTTTATTTCATTTGTAACTTTTGCATTGTTTCCATTTACTTTTAGGTTACATGGTTCTTGTTGTTGTTATTGTATTTTTAAGTTTAGACTACACTCTAAATCGCATTTTGAATTACATACGTTATTTACGTGACTCGAAATGGCCACCCTGATTGTCGATACACACTTGATCCCTTCGTGTATTGAAGTAACAGCCCTCTTCAGAGAGTCAAGACCATTTTTGATGTTAGTACCGGAGTCTATTATTCGATTCAGCAGCTCAGCCCTCCTGTTTGACTTGGTGTTATACTCCGGGGAATTTGTGTGACCCCAGAGAAAGTAGTCCAAAGGCGAAAGATCTGGTGATCTCGCAGGCCAAACAACTGGACCATCTCGGTCAATCCAATGGTCTGAAAACTGTTCATTTATAAATGCAGTCACCTGCCTACCAAAATTAGGTGTGCCATCTTGCCTGGCTAGCAGAGGGATATTTTCCAAAATCAATGGCAGCTCTTCCTGTAGGAAACGCGAATAGCGCTGAGATGTGGAGCGGCCTTCGAGCAAACACGTCCTGTGCAGAGTGAGTGCGGAACACTTTCTTGACAAAGCGTTGCAGATCGGACACACATTTATTTGAACTTTTCTATTCAACATGATCCCAAGACCACGCGGGTGAGCCATGGACAACCTGTTGCGGGACGCTGTATAAGTTGTGAGAATGTCTTGGATATATGTAGCTCCTGTTCCGGTCTGTTGTGAACGCGATGAATAACCATATAAAGTTTTTTTTTCTCTGGATAACCGGATTCTGGTTCAGGATCTGAACCTGGGACTTTCCGAATAGGAAGCTGGTGTGCCAACCACTCTACTACGACAGTCCTTTTAGGTGTAGTAAATTTTTTAGTAGGAAAGGAATAGGATTTCATGTGGTGGTTTTTCCGTTTCCCTTGACGCAAAACCACAGCGGAAGCCAGAATTTTCCGTTCGTAGTTGGAAACAAACCTTTTGAAGCTCTGTTCACATGTTGGTAAATTCGTATTAGGTGATGTGCTGCCAAGGGTGACCAAGGACATTGACATTATCAAAGTTGAAGTCTCGTTCCACAACTTATGTACCTGTTGAACATTGTATGAACCAGCCATTGCCTAAAGACGACATATTTTAATCAGCATGTAAGTCGACAATACCACGTAGAATTGGAGTCCATGTTG